ATGCCAAGGTCAGTCAGGATGTCCAGTAATCGTCCTAGCATTCTACCTGCTACTGAACGATAATGAGAGGATTTCCATTATTTTCGGGTGAGCGCCCCTGGCAGATGCCGACAGCCAGCAGATGTGTGAGGTCCGAGGTGATTTGCAAGGGACTGGTTCATGTGATGCACGGTAATTGCACCAGGCGACGTTGTCAGTCAGAGGCTTGTCCTGGCCTGCTGGGATGAGGTAAAGGTCAATTCAAAGATCCCGTGTGGCCTCAGGAAATGGGGGCAAATCCCACTCTCACAGGCATCCTGGGGAGGCGGTAGTGGGCTGAGGTGGCATTCATGGTTTTAGAGGGGCCACCTGGCCAGAGCCCTGCCCTGTGCCACCAGGGCCCTGCTGTTGGCCCCCTGTCCGTGAGTTTCTTGGATGTTGGGGGGCGAGGATAACACAGCCTGTCCCAGAGCTGGGCTTGGCCCCATGCCAAAACCCCTCGGATTCGCTCCCTGTGGGGGGCGCTTTGAAGGCCGTGCCTCAGCCCTGAAGCCACACTGCCTCGGGCTTTTCTGACCTTCTGAATTCTTGTGTTCCAGGCCTCCCAAGGCCAAATCTGTGACGTCTGGCTGCAGACCCCACCAAGAGATGCCGAGGATTTGGTTCCTCTGCTTAGTCTATTCGGGCTGCCATAACAGAATTCCACAGACTCGGGAGCTTAAACCACAGAAGTTTATTTTCTCACCATTCCGAACGCTGATCATTCAAGAGCAAGGTGGCAACAGGGTCAGCTTCTGGTGAGCGTTCTCTTCCTGGCTTGTAGGTGGCCACCTTCTTGGTGCATCCTCATATGGCCTCTTCTTTTGTGCACAGAGAGGGATAGATCTTGTACAACACTAGTCCTTTCATATCACGGCCGCATCCTTATGACCTCATTTAACCTTCATTACCTCCTTAGGGCTTCAACATATGAATTTGCGGGGTGGAGGGGCGGGTAGGCGGGACACAATTCAGTCCATAGCATTGGCCATTCAGGGCCTCACCTGCAGTGCTGACCATCATCTCATGCCTTCTGGCCCCCATGCACACACAGGTGCACCTCACACCTCTAGAGTGTCAGTTTCCCTTCCCGCAGGAAGAGCTATGCTGTGTTCCTGAGGCTGTTGGGCCCTGGCATGGTGCTTCCCTTATCGGGAAAGTGCCAGCTGCCTTTGCTCACCGGTGTGAGGGTACCTGCATGCCACCACGAGATGGTCGAGAGCTCGTGGGCTTTGCTGCTCACAAGTTGCATGACATTGTAGGTGTCTGTCTCTCAGAGCCTCCATTTTCTTGTCTCTAGAATGGGGATAATGGGTCTTACCTCATCGCTCATTCAGTGAGTGCCACCTGCGTGCCAGGCACCTGGCCCTGGGGATGTATGTAGGGGACACAGACTGTGTGGCTGTGCCCTCAGGGAGTGAGGACAAGATTGGATCACGGATATGGAGCCTAAGGTGAGGCTCAGTGTAATGTTGTATTCATGCTTTACCATTTTAATAATAATAATGAACACTTTTATTATTTTCAGTGATTAAGAAAAATGAAGAGAGGACCTGGGACTCACCCCAGGTGGTCAGAAATAGTCAATGGTGACACCTCAAAAGGGGGTGTGTTGGGGGGCACAAATGGACAGACCCCCAGGGAGGGGACTTCGCCAAGCGTTTCTCAGAGGCTGATTTAATCCTAAAATGTACTTTGCTTTTAAAGCCTATGTTTTGGATGAACTGACATGGTGTTTCCAAGGAGACCAGTGGCTGAAGTGTCCTTAAGTGGGTTCTGTTATTTACTGTGTTTTCATCGGCATCTGAAGTGTTTGGAGTAGCAGATGTGGGGCACTGTCATCTCACTGTCACACGGATTGTTCACTGTTCTGAGAAGGTCACATCATAATTCATTAGCAATAATTAGTCCCCCGGCACCCCCTGCACGTCTTCATTCAACAGCTCCATTAACTTGGGTGCGAATCACGCGTTCCGGGCACCAACCAATGAAGATCCATCCGTAATGTACAAGGTGATGCTATTAGTTACAATATATTAACTGCCTAATTTAAAAATACAAAAGCTGTCTTTATGAAGGGCAATTAACCACTCAGCGTAATTGATAATTCATAACCCTCTGATTAGGAAAGACAAATACTAAGAAAGGACTGAATCACCTGGGCTATTGATTAAGACATTGTCAGCCTCTCAGTTTTCATTCACTCTGTTGTCTGTAGATTACAGATTTCTTCCCAAATCACACATGTGGGCTCCAGTACCTGGAGGGTCTGGAGGCGCATTGTAATGTGGGAATGTGCATTTTCACCACTGAATCCTGTCTGTTTCCCTCAGGGCTTAGGAGGGGGCTCCGTGCTCAGGACACCCTTGGGGAAGCAGTTGTGTGGTTGGTATGATCATAAGGAAGGGTCCCTCTCACTGGCTGTCATTTGGACTTTCCATCAGTCGGTCATTCAGCAAACATTTATCCGGGACCTGCTGTGCATCAAGCCCTGTGTGAAGCACTGGGAATGCCGAGGAGAGTAGCATCCCATTCTTGGCCTCATGGAGCACAAAGGTTTGGGAGAGAGAGAATAAACAAATATATAAATGGGGTGGCTGGAGCTATTGGTTACTGTTATAAAGAAAGAAAAACCATGGACAGAGATGGGGTGGGAGTAGTGTCACACAGGGTGGTGGGAGAAGAGGCAATGGACAGACCGTTTCCCTAGTTGCTGTCATTGCTAAGGAGTTTCATTCAGATCTCCTCCACCCCAGGGTGAACAGAGTGCCTGAGCTGTCCCCAAACCTCCTCTCCAGCCTGTTTATCCGGCTCAGCCATTCTTTATGCCTGACCAGGGCCCGGGAGGGTGGGGCCCGCACCATGCCTGTGCCTCCCTCTGCTCTGCCTACCGTCCTTTGCCATCTCCTTGTCCTCCTGCAAGATTCTCGTTAGACCTGGCTCTTCTGGGAAGCTTTCTCTAAGACCCGCCCTGGGATAAGACCTCTGGACCCCTTGGCTTTGTACGTTAGCTCTGGTGCACGTGCTGCCTGTTCCCGACTCCAGGGAAGTCCCAGGATCCATGTCAGGGTCCAGTAGGGCTTAGCCCATGGCCTGGAGTCTCAGATCCAGGAGGAAGAGCAGAAAGCACTTGACCTTTCTGAGACTCAGTGTTCTCATTCATAAAGCGGGACAAAAAGTATATTCCTGCTGGGTTCAGGTGGAGTTGCATTTTTAGTTGGGTCTCACTTAGTTGCCCAAATGGAGGTTGATTTCAAGTCCATAGTTCTGAGTGACTGGGTCTAATCTGTGTGTTACCTCTGGACATGGGGCTACATCTGTAAGCACAAAGTTGGAGCCCATACCTTCCATATATATTTACTTATAAATAATAAAGGATAGATTATGTATTTAACACTGTGTTAATATATCACTTATAAAAAATATAAAGCTGGGAAGGATGGCTGACGAGTAAAGATGTCTTCCTGCATCTTCAGAGACCACTGACAGGGGCGTGTTGGGGACCTGTGTACCAAAAGTGCTGGTGATGATTAGTATGCCTGGGTAATTTCACTAGGGTTTCCTGGACCTCCTGACTGGCAGCCTGGTGTCTTTCCCACGACCCCATGCTGTGGCTCTCCGCAGGTGCCAGATGTGACTGACTGCTCCCTTGCTGTCAGGGGTTTGTCCAGGGAGGGCTGTGTGCCCTGAGCTGCGGCCTGTGTGGCCGGTGCCTCTGGAGATTCCTCCCGTCCTGCTGGCCCCCTTGCTGGGCACAGCCACGCTGGCCTCCTTTCCTGGCAGCTGTGCCCACAGTGCTGACTGTGGCCAAGTCCGCCCTTCCCTTGCTGGTAGCTCTTCCTTTGCCTCATTGCATGGCTGGCGCCTTCTCTCCCTTTAGGTCTCAGCTGCTGAGCTGTCTCCCCCGGGAGGCCTCCCCCGACCTTCCTGTCCACCCTGGCTGCCCTCTGTCTCTTCACCCGTTTCCCTCCTTCATAGCACCTCTCTTTTCTTAATCACAAACTCCCCTTCCTTTGCTCAATTTCGCACCCCACCCACCAGACTGTGGGCCCCAGGGGAGCAAGAGCCTACCTGTGGTCCTGCTGGCGGTTCCATGCCCTAGCCCAGCCAGGCACTTAGTAGGAGCTCAATCACCGTTTGTAGAAGGGCTCAGTGTTATTCCATTGGGGCCTCTTTATGCATCTGCTTTATGGCTTTGCCTTCCAAGAGCCTGCCCAGTGCAGCTGGGACACGACGTTCTCCTGTGAGCTCAGGCGGGAAAGACATCAGTGCTGCTGACGTTTGGCAGCATCTCAGGTTCACGTTCCGTTAACTCTGGGTCTGCATGGGATCGTCCGTGTACCTGATGACTCTGTCAGGCAAACCTTTCTTCAGTGACAGCGATGAGAAGACACACCTCAGCTTGGTCCCTCAGCCTTTGCACTTTTTGGGAAATATGGATCCAGAGTTAATACGGCACATGTAGCTCAGATGCAAAGTGGCAGTGCTAGTTGTTGTGGAAAGGTACAGGGAGATTGCTGCGGATGCTCAGAGGTGACCTCTAGCCAGGCTGAGCAGGATGGTGTGGTGAAGGGGAGGTGTTAAGTGGGGCTCAGAGGGTGGGAGAGTTGGCACAGTTGGCACTTGTGGAGAGGCAACATGTCCCAGGTGAGAGGGTGGGGATGTGTCCCAGGCAGAAGGAGAGGCATGGGCAAAAGTCACATGGGAAGCTTGGGGAATCTCAGGTGTGCCATGCTCAGTGAGGATGAAAAGGAGGGTTGTGGGGCATGGTCAGGTCCCTTGAAAAGGGTCTGCTCCAGCTCAGAAATCCCAATCTGAACATCCCTGGGTTCAATCAAGGCCTACCTCAGGCACCAGTGGTGACCTGGCCTTCTCTGGGACTGTACCCATCGCCCTTCGAGAAGCATCCATTCAGCTTCCTCCCCAGGAGACAACACGCCCCTGGTGTTGACAGCAACCTCCACCTATCATTCCACTTTCAGACTGAAGCGGTCCCGGCTGAAGGTGAGGTTCTGCACCAACGAGTCGCAGAAGTCCCTGGGAGACCTCGTGAGGCTGCTTCAGCAGCTGGGCTTCGACATCTCCGAAGGGGAGGTGACTGCTCCGGCCCCGGCCACCTGCCTGATCCTGAAGGAGCGAGGTCTGCGGCCATACCTGCTCATCCATGATGGTAGGCCTGCCGGGGCCCTGGGACCTCGTGGGGGTGAAGGCGCCCACTTTCTGGGGTGGGACTAGGGGAGGGTGTCCACTCACACCTGGGCCAAACCACTAGGAAGGACACCGAGGTAACACTTGGCTCCTATGGGGTGGAAATCTTGTGGGGCTTCCTGCTGGGGATCCAGCCCCATCCATCCCCTGGCCTCCTACCAGAGGGTCTCACACCACAGCCCTTAGGGGCAGGTTCCTGGTGGCTCCTTGGAGGAAAACCCTGAGCCAGCTTTCTGTGATCCAGGATGGACCAAGGGGGCAGGGAATTGTCAAGGGGGCAAAAATCTAGCTTCTGTGTGTGTGTATGTATGTATGTGTGTGTGAGAGAGAGACAGAGTGAGAGACAGAGACAGAGAGACAGGATGAAGAACTAGCCTGAGGCCCGTAGGTTTCTAACATCTGGCACCCATAGCCTCGGACTGTATGTGTGAAAACCAGCCCCACCCTGGCAAAGGGAACAAGGTCTACGTCCTGATATAGCCTGAATGCGAGAACAGAGCCCCTTTGACCCTCGGGGGGGAGTTTTTCTGGAACGAAGTGGAAGGAGCAGGACTGTCTGGTGCCTTCTGAATATTTAGGAAGAGGCAGAAGCGGTGCTTCAGAATTCAGGACCCTTTCCTGTCGTCGCACTGAGGCCTCCTCCTTCCCTCATCTGCACTTGGTCTCTTTGCTTACAAACCACTGGCAGGGACAAGCACGCTTGTCTGTCCCCCGGCGGGAGGGGGCTCCCAGAGCTGCACGGTGCTCCCTGAAGGGCCTGGGTGTCAAATCCGTAGCTCTGCTGCCATCTGAGGGTGACATCCCTGGCCTTAAGAAATCCGGTTTCTCAAAATCTTTCCTCTGTGATCTAGGATCCCGCCCTGCAGCGTCTTTATAACAGGTCCTCAGAGAAGTGAAAAGACTTAAGAAGGAAAACCCCCTTCTGCGGGGCAAAGGGAGGGGTGGGGGAGAAAGGAGCAGAGATGAGAGGAAAATTCAGGGTTTGCCCTGAAGGTGGCCTTAGTCACTGAGGGCCCCCCCCCCCGCCCCCGCCCCGAGCAGATCTGAGAGCTTCAGAGGCCCTTCCTTAGCTGGAATCCTGCTTCTGTGTTTTTCATGAATGTGCCTGTGTTTTCAGACTTCGAATCTTTTTTCAACTTTTGTTGTTGATGAATTTATTCCCCCTAACATTTTATTATGAAAATTTCCAAACATACAGCAAAGCTCAAAGAATTTTCCTTGGCATATTTGAATACGCATCGCCTTATTTTTATCAATGACATTTCACTATATTTTCTTCATTATAGATCGACCCATCCCTCCATCCATCTATCCATCTTATCTTTTTGATGTGTTTCAAAATAAATTGCAGACATCGGTACACTTGCCCTAAAACTTCAGCACATCGTTAACTAAAGTTCAGTATCTGTTTAGTTTTTCATTTCATGTAAAATTTACCTACAACGAAATGCAAAAATCTCAAGTGTACTCGCAGACTTTTGACAGAAGCACACAGATCTAAAACATTAGCGTCACCCCAGGATTTCCTGCATGCTCTTCCCAGAGGAAGCAAACCCCCAACCCCCTTAGGGGAACTCACTATTTGGATTTCTTCCATTATAAGTAAGTTGGCCTTGTCTAGAATTTCATATGGATAGACTCATACAGCATCTGGTTATGTTGGGGGTTCCCAAGACCACCCTCAGGCATGAAGACTTGCGAGAAGGACCCACAGGACTCAGAAGCGGTCGTGCTCATAGTTCCGGCTTATCACGGTGAGAGAATAAAGATTCAACTCAGCAAAGGGAAGAGACGCCTGGGCAAACTCCAGGAGCCTCCAGGTGCACCCTCCACCTGTCCCCTCCAGTGGCATTGTGCTGGGATGTGCTTACTTCTCCCAGCAGTGATGGGTGACAGCACATGTGACATGTTGTCACCCAGAGGAGCCCCCTGGAACTTTGTGTCCAGGGTTTTTATTAAGGGTCAGTTGGGTAGGCATGCAGTGTCTGCATATCTGACCTTGGCTACTCAGTCTCCAGCCCCCCAGATGTCAAACTGACACAGCATGGCCCAGGGCCCCAGCTTCCAAAAACCTTCCTTCCAGGCAGAATATTCCAAGGGCTCAGAGGTGACCTCCCAGGAGCTGCTGGAGGACCTGTCATGGAGATGCCTTTCCTTGGCACGTGCAGGGTATGAGCAGCCCAGGCCTGCTGACTTCACCCTTTCGCTGTAGTCGTGTGTGTGCAGCTTCTTTCACCCAGCATGCTGTTTTGAGACCAGCATGTGGTTGCATGTGTCAGTAGGTGTCTTCCTTTCCTTGCAGAGTGGTATTCCCTTGAGTGAACACACTGTGGTTGGTTTGTCCATCCCTCTTTTAGTGGACACCTGGGTTGTTTCCAGTTTTAGACTATTAGGAATAAATCTGCTGTGAACATTCCTGTACAATTCTTTTGGGTAAATACCTAGGAATGGAATTTCTGGGTCATAGGGTAGATGTATGTTCAGTTTTATAAGAAACCGCCAGCCCTTTTTCCAGAGGGGCTGTATCATTTTACATTCCTGCCAGCTGTTGCAGCTGCTCTGCATCCTCACCAGCACTTGGTGTTGTCAGTCTTTTTAATTCTCCTTATTCTGGTGGGTATGAAGTGGTATCGCATTGTGGTTACTTCAGTTTTTTAGTCGAGAAATGTCAACATCTGATACCAAGATAGATGAGAGTGTTTCTTCCTAGGGACTGAAGATATAAGGCCAATGACCCGATTTATCCTTTCAACTTTCTCTTTTTTAATATGAAATGGGGGAGGGCATGGAAGGTGAAGGAGAAAGAGATGTTTCCAAGGAGGCTGGTGAACCGGGCTGGTGGGGCTGAGATTCTGCTCCTTTTCAGGATGTGTGTGCCCCTGTTGTCCCCTCTCCAGTGGGGTTTGGCTGCAATGTGTCGATGGTTCTTAGAGTTTGGGGCCAGCAGTACCAACTCTATAAAGGTTGCAGCAGCCTTTTTTCGTGCTACGTCTAGGAATCTGTGTCTTTCAGACAGATTTCCCTTCTTAGTTGCAAAGCTACAGGTTTCCTGCCTGTGGTATTGAACTAAAGGAGCTCTTGCAGTGATGCTTGTGTTGGGGTGGGGCTCCAGGGCTGGGCCCATCTGTCTCCTAATAAGCTCTCTAACTGTGGGGAGCTGGAATTCCCTCATCCGTAAAATGGGGATACACCCCTTCCTTGCCCACCTCCCATGGCAGCAGTGAGGATTGGAAAGAGAGCATCCGAGAATGGGACAGGCAGATGTGACAGACAGAAGGTGTCCCTGGTAGGAGATGGGAGGCAGGCCGCATCACCCAGAGGCTCTATCCCTCTTTCTCTCTCTCTCTTTCCAGGAATCCGCTCAGAATTTGATCAGATCGACACGTCCAACCCCAACTGTGTGGTCATTGCAGACGCAGGAGAAAGCTTTTCTTATCAGAACATGAATAAGGCCTTCCAGGTGCTTATGGAGCTGGAGAATCCCGTGCTCATATCTCTGGGGAAAGGGTGAGTCGGCTCCAGGGGGAGTTGCTTTTGGCTGCTTTGGACGGTGCTCCATGGATCTCTAACTTCAAGAATCAGGAGAGGGGCCAGCCCGGTGGCGCAGCGGTTAAGTGCACACGTTCTGCTTTGGCGGCCCGGGGTCTGCTGGTTCAGATCCCAGGTACGGACGTGGCACCGCTCATCAAGCCATGCTGTCGCAGGCGTCCCACATATAAAGTAGAGGAAGATGGGCACAGATGTTGGCTCAGGGCCAGTTTTCCTCAGCGAAAAGAGGAGGATTGGCAGATGTTAGCTCAGGGCTGAACTTCCTCAAAAAAAAAAAGAATCAGGAGAGAAGGCATGGAGTGGGCACAAGGTGACTTCTTTTCCCTCCCTCCCTTCTTGCTTTTTCTCTTCATTTCTTCCTTCCTTCCTTTTAATAATTTTTTAGGAAATCAGCGTACTCTGTCTTCAGGAGCTAGTTGGTCAAGCTTCCATTTGGGCCCTTGGCTGGGAGAGGCTAGAGCAGGGAGGGTCCTTGCAGACAGAGACCTCTTGGAGATCTCAGAGAGCAGGTGCTGACTGTCCCAAGTTTAGGTGCACATGCACAGGACGCAACACAGGGCATGAAGGACTGTGCCAAGGGGACACCTAAGTGGAGAGAAATAGGTTCTCTGGCCTGTGGGACACTCTGGTCCAGACCCCACATCTCTGGCCACAGTCTCTGCAAAGTTGTGACTTTGTGACCACTGTTTTTGTCGGAGCCTTTAGCATGGCCTCGCCATCTCTTTCTTTTAAAAAACCATGTTGGTTATCTTTCTCAACATCTTTTACCACCAAGACAGCACATGTTCACTAAAGAAAAATTAGAGAATACAGATGAGCAAAAAGAAGAAAACAGAAAGTATCTTCAGTCCCACTGTGCAAGAGACAGCCGTCAGTGTTTGGTGTGTGTCCTTCCAGGCGGCTTCCTGTGCAGACAGATCATTACAAACGGATGTGCTCTCACATTGGCATCCATCTTGACCTAGTGATGGTGTCCGTTTTTTATTGTTCACCACACGATATTTTGTGAACAACTTTCCATGCAATAAATAAATATCTCTGTAGATGGTCATTCCTATAAGTTTTTTTTACAGGATATCCTGTAGTTTTTTTAACCGACACCTGATGGACATTTAGGTTGTTTCTGGTTTTGTACCAAAGCAAGGCTGTGGTAAGCATTTGTGTGTTTCAGATGATGTGCATTTTTGAGGTTCTTGGTGTGTATTGCCAGGTTGCTTCCCAGAAAGCCGTGCACATTTGTTCTGTCATCAACAGAAGCAGCACTAGGATTTTAGAATCACAGGCTCTTAAAGTTGCAAGCACACTGTGGAGCCCTACATGTACAGCTTCTCACGCAGTGCAGGAGTTCTGGGGCCATCTCTGGGGAAGCCTTTCCCAGCTTTGGTACTTCTGGTGGTTGAGAACTCCCTACCTCTGCCTGCTGAATGGGGTCAGCTGTTCGCATAGATAAGGAGGGACTTGGAATCTGGCCACCGGCCATTAGCAGGCACTTTATGTACTCCATTTTGTTTAATTCCCACCACAACCCTGTGAGCTGTAGGCAGTGTTATTGCCATCTTACGGGAGGGTATATTGAGGCATAGGGGGTGAAATAAGCCATGGTCCCCCAGCCAGCAGTGCCACCCTGAGCCTGTGCTCATCACTTCTAGGCTGCATTCAAGAGCAGATGTTTGGGCCACACAAGATCTTAAATTTTTTGAGCTGTGTTTAAAAAGTGGGAGATTTTACATAAAATACCCATATTTCTGGATTCTTTTGAAAAATCAGAAGATCTGACAGTGCTGGGCCCCATGTTCCAGAGCGCACAGCAGCTCAGCCAAAGCCACGGCCTCCATTCGTTCCAGTTCACCACAAATGCACTGCCTCCTGTTGTCCCCCTCTCCAGGCTTCAGAGTCACTTGCCACTATCGTATACGGTTTGTGTTTTTCTCATAGTGGAGAAACATTTCTTCATGGCTATGTCTCTATCAAAATAGGCAAATGAAAGAGATTTCAAAGAAGAAAAGAGAGGATATATTTCTTTTAGGAACTAAAAATATTCTAGTGTGTTTATACAAATAAAATAAATGTGTCCTGTGTTAGTCAGGGTTCTCCAGAGAAACAGAAGCAACAGGATGTGGAGAGTTATATATATAAGGAGAAATTGATCGTGAGGCTCGGTGCGTCCAACATCTGCAGGGCAGGCAGGCAGGCTGGAGACGCGGAGGAGCTACAGTCTGAGTCAGAGGCTGTCTGCTGGCAGATTCCTACTTGCTCAGGGAGGTCAGACTTTCTTCAGTTCAGACCTTCAACTGATTGGATGAAGCCCACCATGTTATGGAGGGCAGTCTGCTTTACTCATCACAGTCCACTGATTTAAATGCTAATCCCATCCAAGAAACACCTTCACAGAAACATCTAGAATAATGTTTGACCAAATATCTGGGGACTGTGGCCAAGCCATCTTGTCACATAAAATTAACCATCACTGTCCCTTTCTAACCTTCTGCAATTTGGGTTACTACAAACCACAGCACCTGGCCTGCCTGGTTCCTTTACGGTCCAGGCTTGGTCCCTACAGTTACCAACCCCTCGCTGGAGAAGAGCATAATTAAGAAGCTCTGTTAGAGCACATTTATGTTAAAATTTTTTTCTTTAAAATTATTTCTAATTATTGAAAGTTATTATTCCAGATTATGGGTAGTAGTCAAAATAGATATGTTGTTGAAAACAAAAACAAAAACACGGCATCAGTTGCATTCAGCTTTGTAATTCTGCAGCAAATTCAGTAGTAGGCAAGGGCTTGTTTCGCAAATAAGTGGTTAGTGAGACCGCCAGCTGATGGGCATTCTGACTCGGGCTGTGTGCTGGGTGCTCAAAAACCAGAGAAAGGAACTAACAGCTTTTGGGCCTAGGTCACAGTTCTCGGGACAGCCTAGGATCCATGAGGAGCTGCTGTCACATCAGAGTGGGGGTCACTTGTGGTGAGGGGCCATCCCCCACCGGAGCGGGCCAAGCGGCGCCCCTGAAGAGGCAGGATGGCGGAGGCACTGGGGCAGAGTGTCCTCCTCCTGGAAATGGAGTGATTTACATTTGGCATCTGTTTGGACCAAGAGTGGGAATTGCCTTTGTAATTTCTTCTGTCATGCTGCCGTCAGAAAATTAAGCTGTTTACGCAACAGATGATGGAAGGTTAATGGCTCTTGTGGGAAAGGTCAAGTGGTCATTTTGAAGGGAGGCTGTGCTGAATAATCGGAAGGGCAGGAGAATAAAGCATAAAATCTATCTGAGTGCTTCTCCCCGGCCTTCTCCTGTCTCTCTGGCGTCCACAGTCCCTTCTTTGTGGCTGGAGCACTCCGGTTCTCGCCAGGCCTGCTGGGGCTTTCATTATGCCAGGAACCAGAGATAAATATATCAAAGCTCCGGTGTTTCAGGAATAACCTGGGCCTTTAGATTAAAAAAAATTAACTTAGGTCCTTGTATTTACTGTATCTCTAAAAATGTTTTCAGCTAACAGATGGCCTTCAAGATGCCTTTTTGTTTTCCTGAATGAATAAGAAATAAAGAAAAATTCTGGGCACTATAAAAACAAGTCCAGATTCAGTTAAAAAAGAAATATTTGGGTTTCTAATTTTGATTTATGAAAGTCAGATTTTTCTTTAAACTAAAAATGAATGTACCAGAGACAAGGTCTTGATTGTGTATTTTAAGCTGCATGTTCAGTTTTTTCCTCCCATCAGGAATAAATTTATACTTAAGAAAGTCCAGGTTTCTGTCACTGGAAGAAGGAATTGGCACCTATGAGGCAGGCAGAAGTTGTGCCACGTGGGTGTCCTGGGGAGGGTTTCCCAAAGGGGAGGTGCCCCCTCCAGCCAGCCCGGAGGCCCCCGGATGCTCGGCTCCAGACAGAGCTGGGCCTACGGCTACTGGGTGGCGCTGTCCCATAATTTGCTCTTTGGCTTCTGGGTAAGCCCTGCCTATGCGGCTGCATGCTTTCCTCACCTCTGCCCTCCGCCCTGGCTCCCTTCCACCTGTCCCGGCCTCAGGGAGGCCCCCCTGGTCCCCTTCCCTCCCAGTCTGTGCTCCCACTGCCCCCTTCTTCCCCTCCTGCAGCGGTCATCACGTGGAGGGCAAGGGGACGAGTGGAGCTCTCGAGCGCCTGACTGAGGCCTGGCCTAGAGCAGGGTCTGGACCACCGGGTCCCCAACAGGGGGCTGCACTCAGTTCTGAGGGGCTCCCCAGGCCCACACACTTCCACTCCCTGCCCTTGGGCTTCAAGTCTCAGCTTTGATGTCTCCTTCTCTGGGAGCCTCCCTGTCCCCAGGGTGTCCAGCCCCACTCCCGCAGGGTGCCCAGAGCACGGGGTCCCTCGTCATGGCCTGTGTCCTGCCCTTTAGATTTGTCTGTGGACTGTCTGCTTCCCCATCAGACTGGGAGTCCCTGGGGGCGGCTTGGGTCTGGGAGTGTCGCCAAGTCCTGCAGGGGGTGTGGGGCAGCTGCATCCTGAGTGTCTGGGGGACTGAGTTAACGGACACCAACTGCAATGCCCACGAGCGCAGGCCCCAGCGCCCGGCGTCTCCCTCTTCCTCTCGGCTAGACTCCGCTTTACTTCATCCTTCACTCCTCCCTTACAACTCGGGACCTGGCTAAGGAAATGGTCATACAAAGTAGTTTGTGGTAGAAATGGGAAAAATAAAAGGAAACACTCTTTTGAGGCTGTATGAATGCAGAATACGTGTCTAGATTCTGGATTTAAGACAAATGCAATTAGGGATCTCTAAGACTCTGTTTTGGGGTCACCCTTTAAAAGGGGGAGCATTTGGAGGTCCTGCCTCTGTAAGCAGGTGGTAGTTCTCTCTGGCTACCAGGCACCTTCCTGCCGTGTGCAGTGTCCCAGCTAGTCCCTGTCCTTGTGGGGTGGCTCCAGAGCACAGAGCCTTGGACCTTCGTGGAGAGGCCTCGGGTTCACTTGAAGACCAGCGAAGCCTGTCACGACAGGAGACGCTCCCAGGGCTTCCACAGACGGGCTCCAGGCCCCAAATCCACTGGACAGGAGTGAGTGGCAGGGAACCAGTCCTTGCTGAGGCCCAGGGTGTGGCTGAAGCCGCAGTGGAAGCCCAGCCAGGCAGTGGAGAGCGCAGGGCGGGAGAGCGCCTGTCCCCGAGCGCCGGGTCAAGTGGCGGGCAGTGCAGCCTCGCAGCCTTCACGGCCTCACGAGGGCGGAGAGGGACAGGCCGAGTCCCTGGGCGTGGCAGAGCTGGAGGAAGAGCACAGCCCTGGGTGGATTCTGAGAGCTCAGTTCAAACCTTTTAAATAGGTGCAGACCAGGTGTCACTCCCACAGGTTGGAAAGAAAGACCTGCGCTCGTTCTGTCCTCCCCAGCTCAGGTCTTATTGCCACGTCTCAGTCTGGGCGAAAGTTATTTATAGCAATATTCTCTAGTATTTTTTCAGCAGTTTCCACATGCCAGGCATCGTGTGAGGAACTTTGCGTGCATTATTTTGTTCACGCCTCACAACAATACATGAGGTAGGTACTGGGTTTTCTTTTGCCCATTTTACAGATTAGGAAACTGAGGCCCAGAGGGCTTAAGCAACCCAAAGCCTAGTTAAAAAGAAATGGAGAGAGGATTTGAACCCTGGAGTCAGCATGCTTTAGTGTTCTCCTAGGCTCTCTGCATACACGTTGTGTAATGTCTCCCGTGTTCAAAGGGCCTGTGAACGGGAGAGAGCTAACTGCTGCGACGGGTCTCGAAACGTCTGCGTAGTCCTGAGTTTCCACTGACCCTGTCTTCAGAGCAGCATGGGTTAAACTATCTTCTCCCCTCTTCAGAGTCCAACGGCTTTGCTCAGAGAGAACAGGGCTTGGTCCACTGGGTGTCCCCAGAGGTCTGCGTGTGGCCTGAGGTGGGCCAGGCAGTGGCGGCCGGGGCTCAGCACAGTGCTTGCAAGAGCGGTGAACCATCTTCAGAAAGGCGTGCTCCTGGGAGCCGGCCTGTCTCGGCTTTAGTGAGATGGGGAAGAAACAGTTGTCTTCCCCTAAAAGCATCTGGCGCCTGTGGAACCCGACAGCTCTCTTGGCCTCTGGCTAATAGGAGATGGGGCAGGGTGCTGTGGAACCAATGGAGTTTTCTTCTTCAGACAGCAATTAGGGCTTAATTATTAGCAGTTAGGGGTTCACCACATGCTCTGTGGACCTGCTGTCCTTTCCCAGAGCACAGGTTACTTGTCTTTCTCTCTGTTAGCAACTGGATCCATCTGCCCCTGGGGTCCCCTGTTAATCACCACGGCGGGGGCCCCACAAGGCTGGCAGCAGGGGGCCATTGTGACTGAGAGCTGTTGCCTGCTGTCTCACTCACCCAGGTGTGGTAACCCACCACTGGGCTCTGTGGGGCTGACCTCCATTGGTTACTCTCAGCTTGGCATCTGGACTGACCCTTGCCTGGAACTAGACTCTCCTGAGCTGGCAGAACCAGGACAGAGTGGTTTCTCTTGGCATTTCCCAGACCCCAGGCTCAGCTCACCTTGTCCACTTCTGCTCTTTTCTAGACGCTACTACAAGGAGACTTCTGGACTGATGCTGGACGTTGGTGCCTACGTGAAGGCGCTCGAGGTACCTACCCGGGGTCTGTCCAAGCCCTCCTCAGATCTCAGGGCCGTCAGGGATGTTTCCGGTCTTTCTGGAGAAAGGGGTGTGCTCAGCATCCAAAATTGCCTTTTATGTTTTCAAAGTAGGCCCTTCTATTTGGGGCCTCAAGCCGAGCGCTGCCTCTCCTCTGGAGCTTGGCCCCTCAGCTGCCCTGGCAGTCACTCTGCTCCCCTGTCGCTCCTACTCCTCCCCAACCCAGCACTGCCTGCCGTTGACCCATTGGCCCTCCCAGCATGCTCTCTGCCACTCTCCTCTCTGACTCCTGGCTTCCGTATCTGTGTGGAACATCTTCCTCATTCCTGAACTGGTCATCTGCAGCACCTTGAGCTTGATGGGTCCTAACGGGCCTCTTCCCGACACCCTCCCCCATTTCCAAGGCGAGGCCAGATGAGGCTCCCCAGCGTCCGCTCTGACCCATGCCCTGTCAGCTGCCCCAGCCAGGCTTCTGCCCCAGGTCAGCTCATGTCACCTCCCATCTTCACTGCTACACTGGCTGCCGCCCACCTGCACTCAGGTGGGAAGGTGGACAGGCAGGCAGATGGAGTCCTGGACCTTTTCCCCTGGAGGGCCTGTAACAGACCTGCGGGGGGAGACGGGGAGAAGGGAGGGGCAGAGGCAAGAGTGCCAGTGAGAACATAGTCAGGGTGGCCCATGTGACACCTGTGACTTGGCCAGCTATGGGCTACCTCTGCTGTGGTCAGGCTTTTGAGCAGATGGCAGGGCGCCTGATGGGGGGCCCCAAGCATCTGGGCAGCCCCGGTGGAGTTGTGATCTCTTGCCTCTGAGATGTGTCTCTCAGCCCAAGTGTCCTGCCCCCTGGAGGCCCCTGGGCGCATGTTTGGGGCGTCTTCCCTTGCTTCCCCAGGGGGAGGCCTTCACTTCCGGTCGGGCATTCACCTGGTGCTTTGTCCGAAACCCGTGCCATGTCCTTCTCTCCTTCCAAGTATGCCTGTGGCATTGAAGCCGAAGTGGTGGGGAAACCTTCTCCTGAGTATTTCAAGTCTGCCCTGCAAGAGATGGGGTTGGAAGCCCACCAGGTAGGTGTCCCCTCACCAAGGGCGCGTGTAGAGGCAGCAGTGTTGGGGGAGGCCCAGGGTGCCCACGCTGGGGCAGCCGTGGGGCCTGAGATGGGTTTGGGGGCTCAGGCAGCCCAGGGCAGACCCACCATGAGAGATGATTTGGCTGGAAAGGGGGAAAAAAGATAGCACAGGAGGCCCCCTGAACGTGTTCAGCCTGTTAAATGTTTCAGTGTAAGAGTGAGAAACAGAAATGCCTGTGGCTTTTTCTAAGCAACTTTTACTTCTTGTCTGGAAGGATAAGAATTGACAAGTCCTATCAGTGTATTAGAAATATTTCATTGGGAAGACAATATAATGGCAAAATTAAAACACTCTAAGAGAGAAATCACACATCTTGCCGCCTTTGCAGGATGACTATTTGTGAGACAGATTGCCTTCCAAACATATGTCTTGAAAACAAAAAAAAACGGGGGTTATGATTTTAGCATCCACAGTGCCCACGCCCCTTCCCAGTTAGTGTGGAGCTGGTCCCCTCCAGCCAGTGGTTTCCTGAAAGCATAGCTGAAACAATGGGCACGTGTCTGCAGCTGGCCCACGGCTATCCTGCTGTCTGTTTTGGACATGGCACCTGGGACGGTGTCAGCATCCTACGGCGTGGCTGAGCCCCAGGATCACCGTGCACTCCCTTACCGTTGGACCCGTGGTTGCCGCATGTGTTCTGATCTAATGGTTAGAAAAAGACGGCCCACGGGCACGGAAGTCTGGAACTCTGTGCCCACCCTTCCCCTCAGACTCACAGAGGGCAGAAGGTGTGGGGTCTTGTGGGTCCCCAGGAAACACTGGGATATGCCCTGTGGGGCTGGTGGAGAAGGAGAACCGTGTGTTTTGAGTGAGTGAAGACTGCAGGCATGCACAGCCTGGGTTTCAGGACTTGTTTCTCAGAGTTGAATTTGTCTTCTTATTGTGACAAATTTCAAACACACAGAAGTAGAGAGAATGGTACATGTATCCATCACCCAGATTCAGCAATTAAAAGATTTTGTCAGGGCTGGCCCGGTGGCGCAGCAGTTAAGTTCGCACGTTCTGCTTCCGTAGCCTGGGGTTCGCTGGTTCAGATCACAGGTGCAGACCTATGCACTGCCTGTCAAGCCATGCTGTGGCGGGTGTCCCACATGTGAAGTAGAGGAAGATGGGCACAGATGTTAGCTCAGGGCCAGTCTTCCTCAGCAAAAAGATGAGGATTGGCGGCAGATGTTAGCTCAGGGATAATCTCCCTCAAAAAACAAAACAAAGCAACAACAAAAAATATATATATATAAATTACTTAAAAAAAGATTTTGTCAAATTCTCTTCTTTTCTCCCTTTTCTTTCTTTTTAAAAATTTACTTATTTTTTGCTGTCATATTTTAAAGCAAATCGCAGACTTACTGTTGTTGTATCCTTTCATATTATAGTGTGCTTCTCAAAAAAACATGGTCATTTTTGACGTAACCACAGTGCATTCAAACACCTAACAAGAAGATGCTTGGTGCCTTCAGTCATTAGGGAAATGCAGATCAAAACCACAGTGAGATGCCACTTCACAGCCCCTAGGATGTTCTGTTTTAATAAAGAACAATGGAAAATAACAAGTATTGGCAAGGATGTGGAGAAATTGGAACCCTTTTAGAGGAATGCTGGTAGGAACGTAAAATGGAGCAGCCACTATGGAAAACAATTTGGCGGCTTCTCAGTAGGTTAAACATAAAATTACCATATGATCTAGCAATTCCACTCCTAGGTATAGATCCCAAAGAATTGAAAATAGGTGTTCAGACAAAAACTTAAACACGAATGTTCATAGCAGCACTGTGCACAATAGCCAAAAGGTGGAAACAATGCCCATGTCCATCAACAAATGAGTGGACAAACAAAATGTAGTATATTCACACAGCGGAATATTTCAGCCCTAAAGAGAATGAAGTAATAATAAATGCTACAACGTGGATGAACCTTGAAGATATTATGGTGGGGCTGGCTCTGTGGTGTAGTGTTTAAGTTTGGCGCACTCCACTTCAGCGCCCTGGGTTCGTGGTTTCGGATCCTGGGCATGGACCTATACCACTCATCAGCCATGCTGTGGTGGCATCCCACATATAAAAAATAGAGGAAGATTGGCACATATGTTGGCTCAGGGCTAATCTTCCTCAGCAAAAAAAAAAAAAGTATTGAAAAAAGAAAATGTTATGGTAATGAAAGAAGCCAGTCACAAAAGGCCATATTTTATACATTACTTGACTTTTATATGAAATGTCCAGAATAGGCAAATCCGTAGAGACATAAAATAGATTAGTGGTCACCAGGGGCTGGGGGCATAGGGGGGAATGGGGAGTGACTGCTTAATGGGTACGAGGTCTCCTTTTGGGGTAATAAAAATGTCTGGAACTAGATGGTGGTGATGGTGCACAACATTGTGAATACTTAATGCCACTGCTTTGTACACTTTAAAATGGTAATTTTGGTAAACTTTATGTTATGTGTATTTTATCACGATGAAAAAAACCCCTCCCTAACACAATCAACAGTAATTCCTCTGGATTATCTAGTAGCAGTCCGCATTTAGACATCCCTGGCTGTCTTGGAAATGTTCTCTTACGTTGATTTGTTTGAATCAAATCCACATAAGGTCCATACCTGGCATGTGGTGGTTTTGTCTCTGAAACCTCTCTTTTTAATCTTTTATCGTGGAGCATTTCAAATATCTCCATGAGTAGAGACAGCGTAATGAACCCCCGGTGCCCATCACTGAGCTTCAATAATTATCAACTAAGAACCACTTTAAAAATTGTTTTTAACTGTTCATTTTGAAGTAATTTCACACTTCCAAAAAAGTTGCAAGAATAGTAGAAAGATTTTCCATATGCCCTTAAACCGGCTTCCCCAAATGCTAACGTCTTATATAACAATCAGAACAATTATAAAATCAGGAAATTGGCATTGATACGCGGTATCAACTAACCTGGAGACCTTCTGCAGACGTCTTCAGCCGTCCCGCTAGTATCCTTTTTGGGGACACATTGCATTTAGCAGATGTCCCCTGGTGTCCTTTGCTCTGGGGTGGTTTCTCAGTCTTTGTCTTTCATAACTGTGGCATTTTTGAAGAATCCTGGTCAGTTATTTTCTCGAATGTCCCTCAATTTGGTTTTTCTCGATGTTTCCTCATAGTTTAATTCAGGGTATACAGCGTGGGCAGGAATCTTATGGAAACGATGCTGTGCGTCCCATCGAGAAGCACATGATGGCACTTTGCCCTGTGGTGGGTGATGTTCCTCTGATCGAGGCCGAGGTCGTGTCTGCCAGGGTTCTCCACTGCAAGTTACTGTTTGTCCCTTTGTACCTAATGAGTACCTTGTAGGAAAGGACTTGGGCACTGTGTAAATGTCCTCTGTCCTGTCATTCTTTCCCCTCCTAATGTTAGCACCCATTGATAATTCTTACCTGAAACAGTTCTTACTGTGGTGTTTGCCATATGGCAATTTCCTGTTTCCATTGTTCCTTCCACGTTTACTACTTGGAATTTACTGTAAGAAAGAGCTTTCTTTTTTCTCCCATTTGCTTGCTTGTTTGCTTATTTATTTAAAGATTTTATTTTTCCTTTTTCTCCCAAAGCCCCCTGGTTCATAGTTGTGTATTTTTAGCTGTGGGTCCTTCTAGTTGTGGCATGTGGGATACTGCCTCAGCATGGCTTGATGAGCAGTGCCATGTCCGTGCCCGGGATTTGAACTGGCGAAACCCTGGGCCACTGAAGCAGAGTCTGCGAACTTAACCACTCAGCCACAGGGCTGGCCCCTACTTGTTTATTTATTTATTCCAACATGGACTCAAGGATATTTGCTTTATTCTACGAATTACAATCCATTTGGGTTTCTTTTGCTTTTTTTTCCCCTTTGGTGAGGAAGATTGGCCCTGAGCTAACATCTGTTGCCATTCTTTTTTTTTCACTCTCCCCAAAGCCCCAGTACATGGTGTATATCCTAGTTGTAAGTCATTCTAGTTCTTCTATGTGGGATGCCGTCACCACATGGCTTGATTAGCAGTGTGTGGGTCCACACCCAGGATCTGAACCAGCAAACCCTGGGTCACCAAAGCAGAACTTGCAAACTTAACCACTCGGCCGTGGGGCTGGCCCCCACAATCCATTCTTACTGTTATTTATTTTGTTGCTTAAATTGGGCCAAATTTGGCCATTGGGACCCCTCCAACATTTATTGCCACTTGTTTAATCTATATCCCCACCCATTCCTCTCCCCTAGATTATTTTAAATCAAATCCCAGAAATCCTATCACTTCAACTGTAAATATTTCTGTCTCTAAAAAATAGAAATTGGTTTTAAAAGCATAGATAATGCCATTGTCATGTCTAGATAATACTAACAATAATTCCTTAATGTCATCCAATATCTAGTCATTCTTCGCATGTCCCTGATTGTCTTCTAATTGTTTTCTGTTTCTTACAGTTTGTTTGAATCATGATCCACATGAGGTCCTTGCATTGTGATTCATTAGTGCGAGTCCATCTCCCTTTTGTAACGTTTTGAAGAAGAAACTGGGTTGCATGTCCTGGAGCGTTTCCCACAGTGTGGATTTTGTTGGTCGCGCCTCAGTGGTGTCCTTTCACGTGCTCCCCTGTCCTCTCTGCCTCCGGGATGTTGGCAGTTAGACCTAGAAGCTTGGTCAGAGTCCGGTTCAATTCTTTGACGAGCACTTTCTAGGTGGTGGTGTGTCCTCCATCAGGAGGCACAGAGTGTCCAGTCACATCCCTTTACAGTGTCAGCAGCCGCTGATGATTACTGCCTAACTCCAGTGACTCACTGAGGGCTGTAGGACGGTGACATTCAAATTCTGTCACTCCTTCATTTTTCTCTGGATTACTTCTAACAGGAAAACTTCTCCTCACCAACTCTTTGTTACCCTGAGGTACAGTTCATATGGGAAACTCCAGATAAATGCCTGTTTCTTTCCCATCATTTATTAGTGTT